TTTGTATATCTTACAGGTTTTGTTTTCAAAAACAATCCTGAACCCTGCATCATCCAGCATACCTATTCCAAGCAGATTGTTTTCGAGATCAGGCACGCATAACACATTGGTGAACGTGTGGTTAAGGCTAGGCAAATATATACTTCCAGCACAGCTCACAGAGGCTTCACTGCCATCTGCAAGACAAACATTAGTAAGTTCAGATGGGTGTACATCATGCAACACAGTTTTATCATTTACAAACAGTCTGGCAGCGCCGCTATCAAGAATCCATCTCATGCTGGCCTTCTCAGGACCAACTGTAACGATAGCAACATGCTGCTGGGGTGCGTGGTTTCCTTGCTTGTGACACGTGTCAACTTGCGTGTCTTTTTGTCCTCGCCTCCATACTTGAGGACATTCTCGGGCAAGATGTGTTGTTCCGGAACATTTAAAACATTTTTTTACTTTGCTGACACCAGGTGTCTTTCTGGGCTGCTGGCCAGCTCCGGGAACACTGCCAGCAAAGATACTCCTCTCCTTATTGGAACAGTTCCCAGGATGGACCTCTGCCAATGCCTGAAACCTTGCTTCCTGATCCAATAATCTGCCAACAAGACGACCAAGTAAGGGTGCTCACATCAACCGATTCAAGAGCAGCAATAAGTCCATTATATTTATCCGGCAAGGAGGAAAGTAGAACAAAAATCTTGTCATCCTGAGCCATTGTTTTCCCCCTTAGTGTGCGGGCTTGGAAATGGCCAGACAAAGCATCCACATGCGACCGGACTGACTGACCTGGCAACATAACAGTACGGTACAGTCTGCGGGTCAGCGTTATGACGGACGCAGCAGTTTTTTTGATATGTACTGTTTTTAAGCTATCCCAAGCCTCCTTGGCCAATGTCTTATCACAAACATGCAATAGCTGCTGGTCAGATAAGCATAACACAATTGCTGCCAAGGCTTTTTCGTCCTGTTCGGTCTCCTGGGCCGTGGGTGCAGCAGGGGGTGAGTCTACAAACTTCCACAACCCCTCTCTCTTAAGATAATGCTGCATCCGAAGAGACCAGACGGCATAATTGTCATTTGTTAGTTTGTCTATTAGCAAAGTAGCTGAAGCTTGAGCCATTGTGTACTCACTGTACAACACCTGTTGTCCAGGAATGGGCAACTCCTCCGGCTCCTCCTCGGCTTCCTCAGAGCTCTCCGAGCTTAGCTCTGACACCTCGTCCTCTTCACAAGACTGTGACTCCAGCATGAAGCACGCCGCTGTATCCAGAAAGTGTCTTGTCCAGGCAGGACCGACTTTCCACAGCTCAGCCGCCTCCCCCCAAGGGGCCGATTTATCCAAGAGTCTATGGAGGGGTTCTGCCACGGCAGCCTTCTTTGGCAGGAAGGCATGATAAAAGTTTACGAGGCCCAGGAAGGCCTGAAGCTCTGCCTTGCACTGCAGTGCCAGGGCCTCCACAATAGCCTTCACCTTGTCCTTTGCGGGGTGGAGGCCCATCGCATCCACCGGTACCCAAAAAAGTCCACCTCTGGAACCCCGAAGAGGCACTTCTCCCATTTGACTTTCAGACCGGCCTCGTTGAAACAGCCCAACACGGAGTGGAGACAGGACGCAAAATCCTCTGGGGTTGCAGCAGCGATGAGGACGTCATGAAAAAAATGGCATCACACCAGGGATCCCTTTTAACAAAGTGTCCATTAGTTGTTGGAAGATCCTGGGGGCCACACTGACCCCAAACTGCAGTCTTTTAACCCTAAATGCACCCTGGTGTGTAATGATTGTTTGGGCCGTCGCAGTGGCCTCATCTAACAGTAACTGCTGATATGCCAGAGCGAGATCCAGCTTGCCGAAAATGCTTGCCCCTGCCAGAGATGCCAGCATGTGGCTCACTACCAGGACAGGGCATGAGTGCGCTTGGAGGGGCTTGATTTATAGTGCATTTATAATCCGTGCAAATGCGGATGCGGATGTCCCGCATGCTTGCCCCTGCCAGAGACGCCAGCATGTGGCTCACTACCAGGACAGGGCATGAGTGCGCTTGGAGGGGCTTGATTTATAGTGCATTTATAATCCGCATGCAGATGCGGTTTGACGGGGGTAACTATTGGTGTTTCTCAACGGGAATGGGAGACCAGCTCAAGAATGCCCTGGGCTATCAGCCAGTCTAGTTTGGCTTCTATTTTAGGCCGCAAGGAGAGGGGCGCTGTGCGGAAATGCCGGCAGATGGGGGCTACCTGTGGGTCTAGCTGCAATGACACCGGGGGACCCTTGTAACATCCCAGAGCCCCGTCAAAAACTGCGGGAAATTCCCGGTAGACCTCCCCAAAATCCCGAGGTGAGCATTTATTAACCCCCCCCCCGACGGTGATACCCAGGGTCTCGAACCAGGCCCAGCCCAGAACACTTACAAGGTTACCCTCTACCACCACCAAATCCAGATTCCCCATAAAGTCTCTGTATTGCACCCGTAATGTCCCGACCCTCCTGATTGGATTTCGCTGGAAATCCACCAAACTTAAGGGTGAGGGCCACAGAGGGGTTCCCCTCATTGGCCGAAGTTCGATCAGTGTGTCCACGGATATGATGGATGCTGCTGACCCTGAGTCCACTTCCATGGATCAGGGGCACCCCTCAATCCGGACTTGTATTTGAATCTTCAGGGTGGCAGACTGGTTGGGGAGGTGTAGTACCTGCAGCGGCTGATCAGTCAGGTGGTAGAGATCAGAGGTCTCAGTGGCAGAGTTGTGTGCGGCGGCAGCATGGTGGCGTGACTGCGTGGATGCCTGCATGTTCCGGGGGCCCTTGGACCGGCAGACTCGGGCGAGATGTCATTGCTTACCGCAGGTGTGGCAGGTCACATCCCGGAAATGGCATGTCTTCCTCTCATGTGCCTCTCCACAGCTGGCACATTAGGAACAGCTGGAGGCCTTACCAGCATGACTGCTGGACGGCGGCCCCTGCTGCTGCCGGCATTGTGGTTGCCGGATGAGGCAGACATCTTCCTTGTCCGAGTTCTCTGGGCTGTATCCCGGCCCGACCTGATGTGCCGCAGCTGTTGGGCGCTCCTTATATGAGGCCTCGTGTGCTAGGGCTAGCTGCAAGGCCTCTTCCAGGGTGATCTTACGGTTGCCGATCATCTTCCTCCGCAGTTTGGCATCTGTAAGTCCCCACACGAATTGCGTCAAGAGGTTGTCTTCCACCTTGGGAAAGGAACAGTCCACAGCGAGTGCACGCAGGGCGGCCATAAAGGCTGCAGCAGATTCCCCTTGGGCCTGCACTCCTCCCTGGAACTCCATCCGTCTAGCCAGGAAGGTTGGCTTCGGACTGAAGTAGTTGTTGAGGGCTTCTATTATCTCCTCAAACAAACACTCCAAAATGGCGCAGGGAACCAGGAGACTCTTGGCGAGCTGAACTGTGTCGGTTCCACAGGAACTAAGGAGTAGGGCCCTTCTTTTTCCAGCATCGGTGAAGCCATTTAGCTCGATGTAACATATCAGCTGGTCTGTCCAGGAATCCCAAACTTTGGGACATGAGGGATCGAACTTTTCGAGGTTTCCATGAGCGGCGGCCATGACTCACCAGTGTTGCGGGTAGCCAGGTGACGTTGTGCGGTGCTGCTAGAGAGCAGTGCAGGGCGTGCTGACTTCCTTCTGCTCGGAGCTCGATGTCGCGGGTGGGGAGTCAGGCTTTCTCATCAGATCCCATCCTCATCGCTACTGAAAAGTACTGGGTTTGATACATCAGGACGCAGAGCACGATATCGGAGAAGACGCGTTTATTAGTACTTAACACATGGAACAGAAACTAACGGCCGTGTGGCCAACTTTATACAATTGTGGAGGGACACCCCTAAGTCCTATTGGCGGGTTTGAACTTCCTGCCAATGTCCCTATTGACTCCTTACTTGTAGTTCAGGAGCCTAGTCCCTATTGTCTTCTGGATTGAAGCTCTAGCTGCGTCTGTCTGGCATCAGGCAGTATGAGAAGACATAACAGAATGCTCTTGGGGGTTGTGGGAAAGAGGATGCTGTCCCTTGAGGAGTGAGGCAGCCATTCTTGGGAAGCAGATCTACTAGTGATTTCACAGGGAATCTGGAGAGGACACACACAGGCACATGGCCTGTGACCAGATGGGGAAGGATATAAAACTGAGGTGAACAAAGTCTCAACAACAAAGATACTTCTCCCTGTCTCTTTAACATCGCAGAAATAAGCTTTAGACCTAGGGAA